CGTAAGGAACGTTTTGCCTTACGATTCTTATCTTCTGAACATGATCGAATAGAGCATTTTGTTGATGGTCTGAGGAGAGAAATCCGGGAGTTTGTTGTTAATCGTGACATTTCGAGTTTCAATAAAGCTGTGGAGTATGCTCGTCGCCGTGAACACGATTTAACGAAATTTGAGGAAACAACTTCTGAATCAAAAAGGCAACGAATGGAAAGAACCTTCTATGTACCTACTCAGCGACAATCTCGATCTTTCACTCCTAAAAGGAGTCAATCTCAAAACATTCCGCGTGCCCAATCACAAGTATATTCATTTCAATCTAATACGTCACAACCTTGTCAAAGATGTGGCAAAACTCACCAAGGGCGATGCCTTACTGAAACAACAAACTTGAAATGTTTTTGTTGTGGGGAAATGGGTCACGTTCGTGTAAACTTCCCAAAAAGAAATCGAGCATGTTATTCTTGTGGAGTATTTGGGCACCGACAATTTGAATGCCCCCGTATGAGGCGGGAAGAAAGTAAGGCGTCAATGCAGCAACCGGYGGTGGGTGGTGCTTCAAGTCAAAAGGAGGAGATACCCAAAGCACGAGCTCGAGCTTTTCAGATTACCGTGGAGGAGGCTCGCAATGAGGCAGACGTCATTACTGGTATTTTCTTTTTTAACTCTAGACCTGCTTGCATCTTGTTCGATTCTGGAGCTACAAATTCTTTTGTGTCGCATGTCTATGTTCGTTATTTAGAATTTGTGCCAGTTATGCTTTCTATACCATTTACCGTTGATACTGCTAATGGAGTCACTTTGGTAGCTGATAGARTGTTTAGAGACTGCACTTTAGTGTTAGACGAACATGACTTTTTAGTAGATTTGATTCCTATGGATATTCGTGGTTTCGATGTCATGATTGGTATGGATTGGTTAGTGAAGAACTGTGCGGATATCATTTGTTCTCAGAGGATGATTCGGGTACCAGTTGAAAATGGAGACTACTTATACATTTATGGGGAAAGATGTATAGGCGACTTGAAGGTAATATCTATGCTTAAAGCACGACGTTATATTGCTAAGGGTTGCTCCTCTTTCATGGCATATGTTTTGGATRCAACYAAAGAAATGAAGAAAACTGTAAAAGATGTACCAATTGTGTGTGAATTTCAAGACGTTTTCCCTGACAACTTGCCTGGGGTACCGCCGGATAGGCAAGTAGAATTTCGTATTGATTTAGTGCCGGGTGCTGCACCTATTGCAAAGGCACCTTATCGCCTTGCACCAACCGAGATGAAAGAGATGATGAGTCAGTTGCAAGAATTGCTAGATAAGGGCTTTATTAGACCGAGCACTTCCCCTTGGGGTGCTCCGGTATTGTTCGTGAAGAAGAAAGATGGATCCTTTCGTATGTGCATCGATTACCGCGAATTGAATAAGATAACGATAAAGAACAAATATCCATCATCGCATAGAGATGACTTGTTCGATCAATTGCAAGGCGCAAGTTATTTTTCAAAGATTGATTTGAGGTCAGGTTATCATCAACTTAAGGTACGTGAAGAGGATGTACCAAAGACAGTTTTTCGTACCCGATACGGACATTATGAATTTCTTGTTATGCCATTTGGATTGACTAATGCCCCTGCAGCCTTTATGGATATGATGAATCGAATGTGTCGTCCTATGCTCGATAAGTCTGTTATCGTCTTCATCGATGACATACTCGTATATTCTAAGTCTGAGGCTGAACATGCTTCACATCTTCGGGAGATGTTGGATCTGTTGCGGAAGGAAAAACTAAATGCTAAATTCTCAAAATGTGAATTTTGGCTTCGTCGAGTACAATAATTGGGGCATGTGATTTCGGGTGATGGTGTTTCTGTGGAATCATTGATTGAAGCTATACAAAAGTGGGAACAACCAAAGAATGCTTCTGAAGTTCGTAGTTTCCTTGGTCTTGCAGGTTATTACCGATGATTCATACGAGATTTCTTAAAGACCGATGTACCGCTTACTTCACTCACTCGTAAAAATGTGAAGTTTGTATGGACTGAGACTCAAGAGAATGCATTCTAGACTTTGAAAGATTGTCTGACTTGTGCACCGGTACTTGCCTTACCCGAGGGCAATGATGAGTGGTCTATAGCGATGCTTCTAAATTGGGTTTGGGATGCATGTTGATGCAGCGAGGCAAAGTAATTACATATGCCTCTCGACAGCTGAAAGAATACGAGAAGAATTACCCCATGCATGATCTTGAGTTAGCAGCCGTTGTGTTTGCTCTTAAGCTTTGGAGACATTATCTCTATGGCACGAAGTGCCAATTGTTTACCGACCACAAGAGCTTAAAATATATCTTCGACCAACAGACTCTGAATATGCGTCAACAAAGAGCTATGGAATTGATCAAAGATTATGATTGTGAAATTCTATACCATCCAGGTAAAGCCAATGTAGTGGCGGATGCGCTGAGTCAGAAGGCACATGTAGCTAGTATTTGTTATGCTATCACTCATGTGTCAATGAAGTCTACTCTTATTGATGATCTTCATAAGTGGCAAATCGAGGCTTTAAAGCCACACCACGTGAAGTCTGAACGTATGGTTGGCTATGTAGACTCCTTATCTGAAGATAATCGTGGTCTCAAAGTCTTTAAAACATGAATATGGGTACCGAGACTTGGGGGTTGGCGAGAGGTTATTCTACAGGAAGCACATAAATCACGATTATCTATTCATCCGGGAGGTACAAAGATGTATCATGATCTGCGTGCCGAATACTGGTGGCCGGGAATGAARGTTGATATTGGCCGATATGTTGAAAAGTGTATCACTTGTCTACAAGTGAAAGCCGAACACCAGAAACCATATGGAAGTTTATAGCCTCTTGAAGTTCCGGTATGGAAGT